CGCGGTGCCGGGCCGGGGTCCAGAGTCGCGGGGTCGCGGGGCCGGGAGCCGGGGTCGCGGTGCCGGGCCGGGGTCCAGAGTCGCGGGGCCACGGGGCCGGGAGCCGGGGCCGGGGCCCCGTGGAGTGTCCTCCATTTGGAGGCACAAAATATGGTAACCCTAGTTTTTATTAATAAAAAAAAAAGTTGCTAGCCTTTGTAATGCAAATGCATGCCTGGCAATGGCTACAGCAATGGCTGTAGGAAAGATGGGAGTTCTACTGTCTTGTCACTCTTTCTCAGTATTGATGTATTGTCAATATTTGAGACCAACTACCCAGTCCCACGTGCACTTCAATGTGTTAACTTGAAAGGTTCATTGGGACTAAATGCTGACAGTAATAAGTTCTGGACAATTTTTGCAACATTCTTAAGGCTATAAGAAAGTTGTGATTTTTTTTTGGTTCAACAGTTGCAGCCACAGTTTGTTGAAGTTGCAGTTTTGGTGTGGTCAGTTCTAGTACCATAAAAAAATAAACACACACACAAAAATAATAGAAACAGGTGTCAGACATCATGGCATTAGGCAGACACGCTTCTGGGGGAGGGAGGAGGTTCTTGTCTCAGGCTTCCTCCAACCTTTTTCCTAAAGAATGAGGAGCTTCTTTGGGTACTCCCACAAAGGGCACCAGCCTTGAGTGCACACCCACACATAAGTGCCAGCACTTTCTTCAAAGCCATGCAGGCTACCTGCTAAAGCAGGGCAGCAGCACGGAAGAGATGGTGCATCCTCTCACAAAGGCAAACATGATGGAGTGGCAGCTGGGCCAAATTTGAATGAGTGGTGTTGCAACCTGGTGCATGGGATTGCAGTGTAACCCATGTGCCTAATAAGGAGCTATCTCTTTAAGAAACCCATTGCTGGGAGGTAAGAGTGAGTTGTGTCTGGGTCATTGTTGCTAGGCAGATTAAGCACTCCACATCCAGAAGCTTCTGGAATTGGGTGTGGGTAGTTCTGGGTAAGCTCCAATAGGTTCCCTGTTGCTGGGGTCAGACTCCATGAGGGCAAGCAGTCAGGGCAGCTGTTTTGCAGCAGCCATGTGCCCTATGTGAATTGGGAGAAGCTGAGCCCAGGAGCAGAAAGCAGGCAGTTGTTCCTAACTCAGAAGCGTTTTGCAGCAGGGTTTTATTTAAATCTATACACTTAACTGAGTGTTTGGTTAATGAGTTAGCTGACTGACTAGCAGTGATTTCAGAAGAGAAAGAGTCTGCATGGATTCCAACGGAAGATTCCTACAAGCAAGTGGAGGAAAGATGTTGTTTAAGGACTGGTCTACACTGGGGGCAGGGGGGGGAATTGATCTAAGTTACACAGCTTCAGCTACGTGAATAACGTAGCTGAAGTCGACGGACTTAGCTCTACTTACCGAGGTGTCTTCACTGTGGTAAGTTGATAGCTGACACTCTCCCATCAACTCCGCCTGCGCCTCTCTCCCTGGTGGAGTACTGGAGTCGACGGGAGAGCGCTTGGCGGTCGACTTATCGCATCTAGACTAGACGCGATAAATCAACCCCTGTTGGATCGATCGCTGCTCATTGATCCAGCAGGTAATGTAGACAAGCCCTTAGACTCAGCAGACTGTATAGATTTGGTGATCAAAGACTCTAATTGAGACTTAGGTGAACAAAACCTAAGCTTTTGGGAATTTTCAGTTTCTTCTCGTATTTCTGTGGGGACTGAAATGTTCAGATTTTAATTTGTTTTCTTTATTTATGTTTATGTATAACTGTTGTGGAAGTGTGAAGGTAATGTCTGTGGATTATAAAATAGCCATGTCATGCTGTAAAAATTAGATTATAAAATTTTATGATAAATAATATTTAATTAAATTCATTTCTTTAGTTCCTTTTGGGACTTGCATGTGGGGAGGCTGACCCTGTGAAATCCTCGCTGAAGATCCTTAGAGACTGAATTCTGTGTCTCCAGATACTTTCTATGGGAGTTGGATTTTTTTTTAAGGTACTGGAGACAGGAAATGATGTGAACTCAAGCCCACCCAAAGGTTACAGCAGCACCACTCAGGTTTCCGGCAATTATAAAAAGTTGCTGTGTGTTGTTAAAAGTTGCAGTTTCACGACAAAATCCTGGCCTGCAATTTTTTCCCCCAGCCGTAACCATTATTCTGTTCACATGTTTCACTGCAGGAAATGCCCTTTGCTCTCTGTTCTTCCACATCTTTCCTGCCTAGGCTGTTAGTGCTTGGATCTCTTTGCCCTTTATTCCATGATGTTTTCTGTTGTTTCTCTCAGGCTTAGTCAGGTCTGGTCTACACTACAAAGTTACATGGACAAGTCAACTTGGTTTTGCATGCGTTCCCCCCGCAGTGTAGCTACAACTGGAGAGTAATTCCGTCAGCACAGCTGATGTCCTTTGGGGAGGTGTAGCTATGCCAGCAGAAAATCCTTCTGATTGCTTATGCTCTGTCTACATTAGAGGGCTCTGCTGCCGTAGCTATACTGGCGAAGTATGAATAGTGCAGACAAGTCCTTAGTCTTTTCTTTGTATGAATCATGAATCTGTCAACTTTTGAAAAGAATAGAAGCATTCACAGAATTCCAAGCAATAGTCAATGTGATGGACCCTAACATGTATATTATGGAGTTAAGAAAAATTATCCCCATAAATGGAATTCCTTCCACTTTTCCTGAAAATTTCATTAACACTTTTGGCTATTTATTTTCCAGTAGGTTGCCCTTGGCCGTATCCTGAGACTTATTTTAAAAAAATCAGATTTATTGCTGGTCTCCCCTCCAAACCTGCGGTATTGTCTCTAACTTCTTGATCCCATGTGGGTCTAATGCTAACAGGCTGTTTAATTTGATTTCTGTTT